TAGACTGCCCCTGTGGGTCTCCAAGCCGATAACTCTTCACAAGAGTAGAAACCATAATCTTTCTCCCAGAGGAGTCACTCATACCACCTTCACATTGGCAGTCAGGATAAAGAATTGATGAAAATAACAAAAAAGCAGAGAAATTCTGTTAATTTCCCCGTGTGCAAAAGTTTTCAAGTCTGAGATAAACTTGAAAGATCTAACCTAACTCTCACTCACTGCCCTTGGGTCAATGTCAACTCACGGGACCCTACAGGACAGGGTAGAACTGCCCTCTGTGAGTTTCTGAGACTCACTCACTACAGAATGAGAGTCTTGTCTCTTTCCCTCAGAGCATCAGGTGGTTCAGAACTGCTGACCTTGCAGTTAGCAGTCCAACTCATAACCACCATGCTACCAGGGCTCCTTAACCTAGCTCTACTCCGAGTTAATGGTATCCTGAAGGTAGTGAAAAGAGGACAGAAGCCAGAGGGCTCTAATTCTAGATCCAATTCTCCCAGGGACTTCACATGAGACTCCAGGCAAGGCATTTATTCACCTTGCATCCGTAAGTAATTAAATATAATAATCCCTAACACACCTACTATCCTGGATTGAATGGTGTCCATTTGGGTGGGGCATGATTCTCGCTGGCAAACAATCATATCGGTGCAAATGAGGGGGTTGAAGTGGAGACCCCAAAGCCCATCTGTAGACAATTGGACATCCCCTTACAGAAGGTTTACAAGGAAGGGACAAGCCAGTCAGGGTGCATTATAGCATCAACAAAATACACAATATTCCTCTAGTCTTTTAATGCTCCCTGCTCCCCCTCCCCGCCACTATCATGACCTCAGTTCTACCTTACAAATCCTCTAAACCAGAGCATTTACACTAGTACAGATAAGAACTCTCGATACATGGAATCCAGGACAGATAAATCCCTCAGGAACAGTAATGGGAGTATTGATACCATGAGAATAGGGGGAAGGTGGGAGAGAAGGGGGAAGAAAGGAGGTACAAATCACAACAATTGACATACAACACGCACACACCCCTGAGGTGGGACAGGGAGGGAAAAAAAGAGGAGCTGATACCAAGGCTCAAGTAGAAATAAAATACTCTGAAAATGATGGTGGCAACATACTGCAAATGTACTTGCTACAGTTGATGTATGGATTGTTATAAGAGCTGTAAGAACCCCCAATAAAATTATATGTATATGGTTTGTAATGATGTAATCATCCCTCTTGATCAGTGACCAGCCAATTAATTGTAAGAGAGTTTGGGTCACATACAATAAACCTACTCAAGTGACAGCAGTGAGTTTCCCTGGGGTGTGGCCTGCATCAGTGTTTGAAAAATACAACTTTCCTCTAGTTCCGAAATGCTTCCTACCCCCTCCATCTCCACCCCAACTATCATGATCCGAATTCTACCTTGCAAGTCTGGCTAGACCAGAGGATGCACACTGGTACAGACAGGAACTGGAAACACAGGGAATCCAGGGCGGATGATCCCTTCAGGACCAGTGGTGTGAGTGGTGATACTGGGAGGGTAAAGGGAGAGTGGGTTGGAAAGAGGGAACCGATTACAAGGATCTACATGTGATCTCCTCCCTGGGGATGGACAACAGAAAAGTGGGTGAAGAGAGACTTCGGACAGGGCGAGATATAACAAAATAATAATTTATAAATTACCAAGGGTTCATGAGGGAGGGGGGAGTGGGGAGGGAGGGGGAAAAATGAGGAGCTGATGCCAGGGGCTTAAGTGGAGGGCAAATGTTTTGAGAATGATGAGGGCAATGAATGTACAAATGTGCTTTACACAATTGACGTATGTATGGATTGTGATAAGAGTTGTATGAGCCCCTAATAAAATGATTTAAAAAAAAGAGAGAGAAAAGAAGAGAAGCAAACAGAGGAGGGACCAAGTAACACCAAGAACGAAGAGGGGAGGAGCATGTCCTTTGGACCCAAGGTTCCTATGCTGAGAACCTGCTATATCCAGGGGAAGAATGATGCCTAGACGCGTAGAGCTATCCAAGGAAAGCAGGGCTCGGAGACATAGGAAACAAGGACTTACCTCCAGAAGAGATACAGAGAGACAGCCTCCCCCCAGAGCTACTCAAACCAAACCACTGCCTTGGCATCAGCTCCAACTCCAAACCAGGCTGTGGGCTAGAATGGAAACTGCCCCTGTGGGTTCCCCAAACGGAACTCTTTAGAGAGTAGAAAGCCTCTGCTTTCTCCCACAGAGCAACTGATGGCTTTCAACTATTAACCTTGGAGTTACCCGCCCAACATGTAACCACTACCCAATCACGATTCCTTTCCCCTAGATCAGTGGTTCTCAACCTGTGGGTCAGAATGAACTCCTTTTGGGGGAGGTTGAACGAACCTTTCACAGGGGTCGCCCAATTCCTAACAATAGCAAAATGACAGTTATGAAGTAGCAACGAAAATAGTTTTATGGTTGGGGGGTCACCACCACATGAGGAACTGTATGAAAGGGCATTAGGAAGGTTGAGAACCACTGCCCTAGAGCTAGCACCCTGAATTTGATCTTCTAGCCTCCTATCTGTGAGGGAATAAACCTGTGTTTGTTAAAGCCACCCCCTTGTGGTAATTCTGTAGCATTAACTAAGACACTTACTTTTCCTGGGAGCTCTAAAACTAACAGTAAATCACTTGTGTTGCTACTTAAAAGCAAACGTGAATAGTAATTGTCCCCTCCTCTGTACTCTCACTGTACTCTTCGGGTATTATTATATAGCATATACCACATTACCTCAAAATTATCAGTTTAGATGCATGTCTGAATGACTAAATTATGAGTTTATCAAGGGTGGACCTGGAGCAAGATGAAATTAATCTTGGTACCCCTTGGTCTCTATAGTGTTTGCATGTGTTTCTAAAGTATTCTAAGGACAGAAAGACTTTTTTAAAAATTAAAAAAAATAATAAATGTCTTACGACATTTGAATTTGAGACACCATAGAAAACACAGTTTTTCAAAAAACAAAAATCCCTCAGTGTTTGAGGGTCTCCGGTGAGCTTTAAACAATTGAGAGCAGTGGTTCTCCATCCCTCATGCCGCGACCCTTTCATACAGTTCCTCATGTGGTGGTGACCCCCAACCAGAACATTATTTTCGTTGCTACTTCATCGCTGTCATTTTGCTCCTGTGATGAATCAGGTGACCCCTGTGAGAGGCTCCATCCAACAGCTGGCAGTGAAAATAATGAGCTGGAATTGGTGAGAGAAGCGGTGACCTAAACGATGGTTGCACCTCGTCTGGAGGGAGGTAACAAGAGAAAAGAAGTCAATGGAACTTGGAAAAGACAACCTCTTTCCAGTGGGGGAGAAAGAAGCGGGTTCAAAGAAAGGGAACAATAACGTTTGGGGAGATTCGCAGCACTTGCTGGTTATCAACTCTCAGACGATGGAGGTTAGGTAGAGGAGGTTGGAGAAGGTGTAGGAAGTGAAGGAAGAGAAGCCGGAGACGGGATGATCACATGTGGGAAGTAAGAAGTCAATAATAAAATCTGAAGTAGCAGTGCTGGCCAAATGCAGGTGTGGGTGAGAAGATAAAAGGCAGCTTCAGGTAACAGGGAAGTAGTTTAGCAAGAAGTAAAGGTCAATTTAACAAATTTGATAGATAATATGAAAAAAAAATACAAAAAGGGTCCCCTAATCTCTCGGCTCACCGTTGGGTCAGATGAGGAGAGGAGAGCTTGTTTGTAAGCTATGGAGGGACCCTGATGGTCGAGGGCACTACTGGTTGGGCTGCGAACTCCACAAGGATAACAGTTCAAAAGCACCAGCAGCATTGCAGGCAAAAGCTGTGCCTGTCTACTCCTGCAAAGATTTACAGGCTCAGAAACCCACGGCGGCAGTTGGACTGTGTCCTCTGAGGTCGCTCTGAGGCCGAACCAACCCGGCTGTTCCATCAGCAGCAGGGAGAGCTGGGAAAGAGTGGGAGCACTCAAGCAGCCCATAACTGAGAAGCTCAGGGAGAGACACAGGAGGGGGTGAAGGGATGCAAGGGCCAGGGCTTTTATAAAAGCCTGAGATTTACAAATAAATAGTGGATTCAGTCCCTACGCCCACCTCCACTGAAATACCACACTCTGTGCTGCTCAGTTAATGCCCATTCACAGCAACCAGACAGGGCAGGGCAGAACTGCCCCTGTGAGGTTGCCGGACTATTAACTGCTAGGGGAGTAGAAAGCCCAGTCTTTCTCCCCGAGCAGCTGGGGGCTCCGAACTGCAGACTTTTCAGATCACAACCCAGCTCGTCACCACCCTGTCACCAGGGCACCCCAGAAATCAAGATTCTGCAAGGCCGCGTGGCCTAAAGATGCCGGGCCTGCTGACCTGGACGTCCTCAGGGGTTTGGGATCAAATGGACTGTACGTGGGCTGTATTTATCCAAGGACAACGTTCGCAGGAATGTCGGAAGGAGGGTGGGAAACGGAAGGCACAGGGAAAACGTGCGCTACCCCATGGCACGTGGAGGGGGTCCCCGCGGAGGAGTGCAGGAATTGCTGAATGTAAAGACGCCGGCCTTCTCGTCCACAATCAAAATCTTCAAATGAAATGAACAGTAACTGCCCAGCGAAGGGATTCTGCCAGATGCGGTGACAGGCACGCTGACTTTCGCAGGGCCGCATCCAGACGTCCAGCACCCCGCCAGGGGACCTCGGACAAGCCCCTCTAGTTCTTTCCGACAGAAAGTGAAGGATTTGGATTACAGGATCCCTAAGGTGCCGCCCCGTTAAAAAGTCAAATCGAACGACCAGCTGTTAGGCACCCATTAAAACCTCGGAGAGATCCTGAGGGGGGCGCTGCTGGCTGCTCAGAATGGGGTGAAAGAGCATGGGATACGATGGCCCGGGTCGCAGGTCCCCAACACACGCCCCGGAATGGGCCGCCCCCTGTTCTTAGAAGATAGGCACCCCCTTGGTGTTCCACCAGCACCCCGCCCACAGTCGGGGTGGGGGTGGGGGCGGTCCTTACCCATCGTATTGTTCGCTCGGGAACAGGCCGTGCGCTTCAGAATCTCGTGCACCTAAAAGGGGGAGACAGCAGAGCCATGAACGCCTTGACCCCTGGGCCTCACCGCAGCCTGTGGGGCGCTGGGCTGTGGCCAGGAGACATTTGGACCCGTTCTGAGTGAGGGGGTGCCCAGCCTGTGCCAAGCTCGGGTCCTGCACGCAAACCCATTAAACGTGAGGTTCGTGAGGAAACAAAGAATGTCACCCCTCTAGCACAGTGCTCCCCACTTCCACCCATCCTAGAAAACAAACAGAGGACTCAAAATTGGCCCCAGTTACAGGAGGGAAAGAAAACAGAGGCAGTGCCAGATGCGCGTGGCCCTCTGGAGGGCTAGGGTGGAAGCACCCCAGTTAGGGCAGGGACCAGGCTCCACCTCCCACGTGGGGACCCTGGAGGATGGCAGAGTCCTCCCCAGCAAGATGCTTGGGAGAGGGCCAGGAGGAGCCAAGCCTTCTCCACCAGCCAGGGAGAGATCTTGCTGACGGCCAGGCAGGTGGCATGCTGGTGCTTGTCCTGGTTGCTAGTAGAGGGCCCTCAGTTTCCTCATCTGTAATAAAGCTAGCATCAAGCTGTTTTGAAAAGGCAAAATGACAATGCACAAAACAAGAGTTGTAGAACCGAACAAGCCTCCCTACATGTTGGCTAATTGTATTATCGAGTCTCTACTCTTTCCTGAGTCCTAATCCTGCCTCACCAACCAGAGCATGCCATAGACCTCATCTGGGACACCAAGGCGTGGAGCACAGTCCTGGGTACCTGGTAGGCCCTGGGACTACAGCCTGCCTACAGATCCACATACCTAAAGAGGCCTCCACCTCCCTCGCCTCAGCTCCGTCCCTGTAAGTTTTCAGGTGACTCCACCTCTCGCATTGGAAGGAGGGATGCTGAGAGCACTCCTTGCAAAGGACATAGGTGTGCCAGCGAAAACCCCTTGCCAACCAGTGACCTCCTGGGGAATCCCCAGGAGGTTTATACTCTGTGCCAGGGGACAAGAGGTCTGCCCTGGACAAGCAGCTGGGCCACTCAAGGCAGGCATTTAGGGTGGACTTTTATAGATGTAGGCAAGGCCCTTGGACAAAAGCCCAGGGCAGAGCAGACCCTGAGGGCAAAACTCACAGTGTAGGGTAGAATGAGAAAAGGGCATGAGGGAAGGAAGAAGCTTCCAGAAGGAAAGCTGAATGAGAATGAGAGAAGCTGTGTTACTCCATCATCATTCACACTTCCTTCTTCCAGCCACAGACCTACAGGGAGCGGTGGAGAAATAACTTCCAGCAGAACGGGCCCAAGCGTGTTTAATTCGGCTTATAATACACTGCAGTATTCCACAGCAATAATAATTAGGAACAGCATTTATATGGCATTGTATTACTTTACAAGCACTTTGCAATTATCAGTTAATCTCTACAACACTCTATAACTTCCCCACAGACGTGGGGCCCAAGCCATCGCAAGACTGAAATGGCTTGTAATAGCATCAAGCAAGGAAACAGGAAGTAAGGCATTTTTTGTTGTTGTTTGCATTAGGAAGAGATGAGAAGCTATATGCCTATTTTAGCATTTCCTAAAATGCTAGGCCAACAGACCTAGGATGTCTTTTTGATCATCCTGCAAGCCAAGGGTCAAAGTTGGGTTTTCACTGTGCCTGGGAACTGTTCTATCGCCATTACCCCCTTGTTAATTATTCTTCCCAGCCCTTCTTATCACCTTCTTGACTTGGAATCCTTCTAGTTAGCAAACGCTTATTCCTCTGCCACGTGAAATCTAAGTTCCGTCCTACAAGTCACTGGGAACACACTCCCACGCTTCCCAGCGAGGGCAAGAGGAATCTTCTAACATCCCTCTTTCTCACCTCTGCCTCCAGGTCCATGGACCTCTAGGGTGGCAGAAAACAAACTGATCCAAGAAGGGAGACAGACACCCTATCATTCCACCCAGGGTCACAAAAGGCACAGGCCAAAAGTAGATTTCCATGGCAATCGGCATCCTATAGAACTCACAAACTCCAAGTCACTGGTTAAGGTCGGGGAGAAGAAGGGCTAGTTCCAGCCATGAATTTTGACTTCTTTTGAATGGGCTGGTCTTTTTGGTTCTTGGGCAAATGGGTGGGCTCTCGAGCTCCCTAGGACACAAAAGCACGAAGCCCTCCTTTGGAGGATGTGAAAGAAAAATGCATGAAGAATGTCCATGACCCAGTAAGCGGGGGACGGGTTCTAGTTCGCATTCAGACATTACAATCTAAATAAGTGTTGTCAATTTATTGCTTCTCAGAGCCTAGGTTTCCTCAATTGCAAACCACAGGCAGCTTACCGGCAGGGTTTACAGTCCCCACCAGCTCTGACAGTCCTGCTTGTGATTCTCAGAAGGGACTTCCAAGAGCTCCTAGAGAAGACACTTCCCTCCACCCATGAGTGAGGGCAGATTGTTTGCTGTTTCTTTTGCTACTAGGATCTGGCAGCTCTTGGATACACCTCTCAGTTGCTAGGCAACTCCAAGCAAATAGTGATGGGACATTGCAAGGAAGGCCAAGAGAAAGCCTTGCTCAGCCTGTCCCTGCATCCCCCCACAGCCTGCATCCCTAGCCCACCACGCTTGTTGACTTACAATGCGGCTGCGGGTGGCATTGTCGAAGAAGGTGTCCTTATCTTGGATGTTGTACCTGGAGATTCCAAAAGAGCACATGGTGAGTGATTTCCATGACCTGTGCCCAAAACTTACCCCAGCCCACAGGGAGCCAAGAATTCTTCTGTCTATGACCCAAAAGACCATAAAGGAGTGCCTCCATGACACCAGAAATCTGCCAAGTAGAGTTCATTAGACTGCTGACGAAGGTCTAAGCTTTATAAAGAACCTAGCTTCTGGATGGAAAAGTATCTCCAAAGGCTGTTCAATATCCAATTGTCTATAGAGTTTTCTGTTCTTTTTGGGGAAGACTTAGAATCTACGCTTTCATTTGAAAACCACATCAGAAAAGTGATCAATGCAATGCTGGAAAGTTCGGGTGAATCTCAGACAGCAATAGGTTGCATGATGAATAAAATGTGCTGTCAGCTCCTCAAGAGCCAGCAGTCTCCGGGATACGTGTGTCTTCCAGTCACTGATGCAGAGTAGAACATGGTACCATGAAGATGACTGCTATAAACACTCGGGCTAGGGAGTAGACTTTTGTTGGGAAGAATGAACGGTTCTTTCAAAAGAAAGTATTTATGAGCTGGGTCTTACGGGCAGCAGAAAGTACATGAATGGAGATGTATTCGAGGTGGCAAATCGGATAGCAACACCGGCATGAATGAGAGCCCAGGTAAGGGTAAAAACAAGGACAGCAAACCAGATGTCAACCTGCCGCTCCCAGGCCAGACCTGGACCTTGGTTTGCTCTCTTTAGAGAGGACTGTTATCTCTGGATGACCAACGTACAAGATCTGGAGGGGGGCCAACTCACAAGATCTACAAGGATCCAATGAGGGACTATAGGCAGAAGAAACAGCTTATATATACAAATATGTATTGAATTAATATCTAACATGGCAAAGATAGGTTGAAGTATTCTCAAATACATGGCAGAAATACTTTTCCACAAACACTATCTCTTATATTTTCTCTGTCTGCCCATGTCCTGTCCTTTCCTGACTCTTTCAATTCCCTTATCATTCCTGACAATTAATTATTTTCTCATCGGGTCCTAAAGTAGAAGGAAGGCTCCGTTCATTCCCAACCGCGGCTCCCAATGTTTCCCAAAATGTTGTCCAAACGTTTCCCAAACAGCCAATTCTTGTGAAGAACCTGAGTTCCACCTCCCTTACGGCCAGAAGAGTGGGAAGCATTGCGTGAGTAAGCTGCTGGGAACACAGAACTATCATCCACCATCTTCTCTCTGGTCATCACGCCACGTTGGAACTCTGTGCCTGGGAACTGGGCTGAATGCTGGCCCCACACAAGATTTTCTTCCAGGGTCTTGAAGCTTTTGATTGACAGCTCCCTGGTTCTTCATTCACTATGCAAATGGTCAAAATGATGAGTTCTCCCCTAAGCCACTGAATCAGTGCTCCAATGAGAGGGGAAATCACCAAGCAGGAACGGGGGAATCTTTCACCATAGAACCTTATTTCCTCTTCCCTCTCCAGGGCATGAGGGCACCCACTTTGAGAACCCCAGGGCTGAAGACTCCTTTTCTTCCCATCTCACCTCATGTCCCTCCCCCAATGGCTTCAATACTCACAGGTATATTTTCTCCCTGGAGAATGGATAGGAGAGGTTTTTCATCCTATTATTGCTGTGCTCTGGGACTCTGGGCTGCAGAGGTGAGCTGAGTTTCTGCAGGATCTCGTTGAACTTCTTTGCGATGGTGCCTTCTGCTTTGATCTCATACATCTATGAACGATAAAAGCACAGGTCAGAAGAGGCAACCACATCCAACGCTTAAAGAAATATGAATTCACAACCCAAGCTGCAAGGAGGGAACCTTTCAGGGGAGAGGAGGCCACTGGAACAATAAGAAGTAGGGTTCGTCTCTTTCCACCCTTGCTCTCACAAGGGCATGCGCTATGAGCCCCCTTGCGAGGACGTGTGCTAGTGAACATCCATTAGCATACATGGATGTGACCTGTGACCGGTGACGACAAATAAGCAAGGGACTGAAACTTTCTATAGGACTTTGATGTAGTATCTGAAGATCTGTGGGGCAGTTCCAATGTCAAGAGCAGTCACGTTTTTACTCTAAGGCTCACAACATCCCAGCTAGGCAGCTAATTGCATGACCTTGTTATGGGAGATTTAAGGCTCAGAAAGATTAAGTGGGTCACTGAGAGTAACAGGGTGGCAAAGGTTGGATTTAACTCCTAAAAACCCAATCCAAAACCTGCAACTTCAACTTCAGGATGGCTTCATGCCACCCAGCATCACTTTTCGGAAGTATTTCTCTTAGGAAATATCTGTGCTTAATGAGTGTGTTTTCAGAGTGTTAAGTATTTAATGAGGAGCGAGGATCTGGCTGGGGTAAGGAGTCTCTGGGTGGTGCAAATGGTGAACAGACTTGGCTGGCGCCTTTGTCGTGTTCATGATGTGAGATTTAGGTGGACTATGTCTCGAGCCCTGGCAGCTTTGTGGTTGAGATTTGGGCTGTGTTGGCTACTAATCACAAGGTCAGCAGTTGGAAACCACTAGCCACTCCTGGGGAGAAAGAGGAGGCTTCTTGCTCCCATAAAGAGGCACAGTCTTGGAACCTGCAGGGGCAGCTGTACTCTGTCTTAGAGGGTTGTTCTGAGTCAAACTTGACTGGAGGTCAGTGAGTGAGAGAATGTCTTGAGTTAATCATCTTTTTTTAGATGTAGAAGAAGTGAGGTGAAAGGGAGACCACATCGAGGAGTCATGCAGAACAAGACTGCTTAGAAATTGATGGTGGTAGCAATTGTACAATTCTGCATGACGTGACTGAACTGTGGAATGATATATGTATGAAATCCCAATTAATAATATTTTTTGAAAAAGAAATAAAACACTATTTTCTTGTTAAAAAAATGCAACAAGCAAACAAACTAGCAGACATGAGGTAAGAGAGATATCAAGCCACATGAAGATCGCCCAGAAGCAGAAGTTCACAGAGACAAACATCCTCCCAAGAGCTGAGAGAGACAAAGCCTTCCCTTAGAGCCAGCACCCTGAATTCAGATAGCCAGCCTCCTGAAGTGTGAGAAAATAAATCAGTTTGCTAAAGCCACTCACTCATAGTTAGACCAGTGCTAGATAACTAAGACAGCTGCTAACCCAAAGGTTCCAGGTTTGAGTCAACTCAGAAATTCAAATTCATCCAGAAGTATATCCAAAGAATGGCCTGGCGATCTACTTCCAAAATTGCATCCACTGAAAATCCAAGGGAACGCAGCTCAACTCTGATGTACACGCCCTGTCATGAGTCAAAATCCATTCTACAGCATCTGGTTGTAGTGGTACTTCGGATAAAGCATAAAGTTAACACCAAGACAATCCTGACTACGTATTGAGTCATAGAATTGTGTTTAGAATAGCAAAGCTGGAGTGGATTAAAACAGAGCACATTTTTGGACACAAACTCTCCTCTCAGGTGATGACGTCTCTGAACTCTGCCCTTGAATGCAAATGAACTTGGCCAGGGTGCTCAATGGAAGTGACACTGTGCCAGTTCTAAGTCCAACCGTTAAGAGGATGGTACCACGTTTGCCTTGGCCCCTCAGGTCCCTGAGCCACTCTGTAGCCACTCCGTTCATGAGGCTGCTCACAGAGGGAAAGGGCTCCCCTGAGCCCGGCTGTCCAGCTGCCTGCCAACTGTCAGCCACAGAGGGAAGCCTTCTTGGATCATCCCGATCAGCCCAACTACAAGCTAAATATCATCAGGAAATCCTAGTCAATTGCTATCATATACAGACCAATCATGTAGAACAGGAAAATCACTCTGCCCAGCTCTGCTCAAATTCCTGAACAATAAATCATTAGCTAGAATAAAATGATAGTTGTCCTAAGACACTAAGTCTGGGGCAAGGTGTCACGTCACATTAGATAAGCAGATCAGTAGCCGGCATCCAGATCTTCTGGCTCAAAAGCCCGTTGCTGTCTGTCTGATGGTACCTGCAGGTTGGCTGCAGCTAGAAGGCTAATGGGACGTGTACAGAAGTGCTTCCAGACAGACTGAGGAAATGCCACAAAGATCAGCAGAGTGCTTTGAGCGTTCAAAGCCAGCAAAGGGCACATCCAGGGGCTGAATCAGAACAAAGTTTCATACAGGGAGCAGCAGGTGGTCTTGCAGAAGAGTGAACCTTTACTGCTGTCATTTGGTTCTTCATGAAAATATGAAGCAGGAAGAACAAAAATAAGGGCCTCCCCTCAGACAGCAAGGGAAGCACAACCACCGTATTGATTTCCTCTAATAATAAACCCAAACCACGTAAGTACATTCATTAAATGAAGCTTCCTCTCACCTCAAACTCAACTCCACCCTCCTCCCCATACAAAAGGAGCACTATCACCGACTCCACTCCAACTCACTGTGACCCCGCAGCACAGAACAAACCTGCACCACAGGCTTTCAGAACCCCACATCTCTGTGGGTCTCTTCTTTATGGTCCCAGCTTTCTCCCACAGAGTGGCAGGTGGGTTTGAACCACTGGTCTTGAAGACAGCAGCCAAACGCTTAACCCATTGTGCCACCAGGGAAACCACTATTAACAGTTTCAAGTATATCTTATCCTGACTCTTCCCATTTGCTAGAACTATACCAATCATCATTTCAACCTTAGTGTGACACTGTTCTACAATTTGATATTTTAACTGAGCAATATATCAAAGAGACCTTTCCAGGTCATAATACTGCAGTACACCTGGTTCTCGTTGGTTTAGCCATTTCCTGGTAGAGGTGGTGGTGGTGGTGCAGATGGAGGTGGAGGTAGTGGTGGTAGTGGTGGAGGTGGTGGTGGAGGTAGAGGTGG